CGCGTCTGAGGCTCCAGGGGCCTCCACAGATCCAGTGTGAAGGAAGGGCCCCAGCAGGCCGAGTCGTGAAGAGGGGTCCCCGAGAGGCGTGCTTAGCCTCGGTCCGACTCAGGGCTGGGTCCCAAACCTGAGGCAGAAAAGGCAGCTTCACTGTCCCATGGCACCCACCTTGCAGGAGAGACAGCACTGGGTTTGGACACGTGTCCCTGCAGCAGCAGCAAGAGCAGACAGGCCAGAGCCGCATCACCAGGACCAAGCAATGGACAGCCCCCCTGCTGTGTCCCCCAGTGAGATCGGCAACCCTCCTGGGGCAGGTCCCAAGGACGCACTCCCACACTGGGAGTGCCCTTTGCAGGATCCCGTGGTGGAGGTCGGAACAACCCAGCACAGGAGGGCTAGGGATGGAGGATGGCCTCACGGGATCTGCAGCACAGCCAGAGAGGAAACACAGGGCCGGTGGCCATAGAGCAGGTCCTGTGAGGAAGGTGTGGACAGGCAGCTGGGGCACGGTGGACGGAGCACATGTAGTTCTTTGCTTTTATTTGCGTGCAGAAGGTCTGCAGGGCCCAGGAAGGGAGCCACTGCAGGTAGGAAGACACCCTCTTCCAACAGAGGCCATTCAGACCCTTGGTCTCCGAACCACTTAACACATTTTGAAAAAACCAGAACCCTGAAATATTCAGAACGTCCAGCACCGACGGCTTGGGTTTGAGGCATCCTGGGCTTCCCCTGAGGCCCAGGACTTTGGGAGTTCCCTCCCTGCGTGGGAAAGTCAGGAGGCACTGTGAGGGGTAGGTAGAGGGCAGGTCCAGAGTCGGGGTCCCCAGGGGAGCAGGGCTACCTGCCATGGTCCTGCTGGGCCAGTAAGAGCCCAAGGGGCACCAGACAGGAAGGCTTCCCACGGCAGCTCTGGCAGCCGCCACTCATCCCTGTGTGGGGTGGGGCGGGCGCTCCAGGACACACCCACCCACACTGGGGACTGCGGCCAGGGATCGCTCTGCTGGTCCTCAAAGCCATCCTGGTAAAGACAAAACAAAAGGAAAAAACTCCAACGTCCTTCGTGAGAGCCAAGCGATGGCCTCAGTCCAGTGGCCAGTGCTCAGCTGTGGGGGCCACACTGACTGACCACACCTTCCAGTCCTGATGCACCAGGGATCTGAAAGATCACTACAGTCTGGCGCGGTAGTGCCATTAGTGCCGTGACTGGGGACTCGGTCTTCTCCCCTACTCGGAGGCACACACCCTGGGGTAGAGCTACACTCACCTGTTCTTTCGTAATCCTACCCCTTTGCCCTGTTTGGGATAGAATGTTCCATGGAAACTCCCTTTGTGTGTCCCCTTCTCTTGCTCTGCCCTTGGGTGTGGCCTTCCTAGATGTCAGTCAACCTGCTGACAGCAGACATCAGGAAGCTAGACTCACCCCCCAAAACCTGACCCCCGCCTCATTTGAATGGCTTCTCCCCAATAAAAGGGTTCAGCACGTGTCTCTCTCTCTCTCTCTCTCTCCCCACAGACCCCTAAGTTCAGAGGAGCCATCACAGGAAGAGGTCTCTCTGTCTCTGTGTGGTTATTCTGTGCACCCAGTTCACCTGGAGTGACCCTGAGTGTTTTAGGAAGGTGACACTCAGCAGCATACTCCGGTCCTGCAGGGGCTCTGCACCACAGCCAAGGGCCACAGCCACAGGGACCCAACACAGAGCCCCTCTGGGGCCTCCCAAAACGGAGCATGGACCTGGTAGCCTCAAATCCCGGTGGGGTGGAGTGACAGCTGGTGCCCTCTCTTCTCTCTCAGGCTCTGCAGACGCTCACCTGCTCCTGTCCCCCGGAACCCCTGGAGAAGCTGGGCTGGTGAGGCCCCCACGCCTCTGGCCTGCTACCACAAGGCAGAAGCAGGGGCCTCCAGGATGCCAGCGAGCCCTGGGCACGTGGGGTCCCCAGCTGTGCTCCTGAGTGCCTTTGGAGGCGGGCCCTACAGCTCCCTCCTGAGCAGAGCTCAGGGATGTCATGGAGGGCAGCAGGAGCACCCCGGGGGCCATGTCAGCCAGGATGGAGCAGGGAGGTGGAGAAGCTGCTTCACATGGGCCTGCAGAGGCCCAGTGCGCGCCTAGGACGGGAAGGGGGCAGCGGGGAGGCAGAACTATGAAGGTTCCAGAACTGCTGAGAAACTGTCCCGCTCACAGCTCTCAGGAGACAGCACACAGAGCCCCGGGGCCAGCCCCAGGCCTGCAGGGTGTGGGAAGCCCTGCACTCGAGGGCTCGAGAAGCTGCTGGGGTGGTCCAGGGCAGAACCCTGTTCACACGTTCAGTTCACCAATTCACTTTTCTGGCTAGAGCAGAAGCCAGGTTCCAGAAAATCAAGACAAAAACCCCATAAACTTATCTTTAAAAAGTAGTTGTTTTTCTTTTTCTCATTTTTTAAATCAAAAGACTGGGGGATGCTCTGCAGCCCAGTGGAGGAACTGTCTGGGCCCAAAGACCCAGAGGCATTCATGGCCCCGCCCATGTCCAGCTCCCAAATCCAGCCCGCTGACCTCCAGAGGACTGCTGTTCTGAGCAGTGGCTCTCAGAGAAGACCCCAGACCCTCACTGTGTGGCTCCTCGCCCTGCCTGGGCAGAGGTGGAGGGTAGCTGCAGATCTCCCAGGAGGCGAAGTGCTTTAGAAGAGCAATTAACTAAGTGAAAAATCAAGGCTAGATTAGATACAGCAACCAAACGAAGTGGCAGGTAACCACAAACACCTGTCCATAATAGCACTGAATGTAAATGATCTCCACTCCTTAAAAAAAATACCTAGATTGACAAAGTGGATTAAAAACAAGATCCAACTAATATGCCACTTGCAAGGCACTCATAGGAGAGCCATGAACAGGCTACAGGTGAAAGGGAGGGAAGCCTTCCATGCACACAGAGCCCCAAACAAGCAGGAGAAGCTATTCTCATATCCGAAAAAGCAGATTTCAAGCAAAATTAATCAGGAGAGACAAAGCAGGCCACTCCATATTGGTAAAGGGAACATTCAGCAAGAAGATATAATGATAGTAAATATTTATGCACCAAGTGTCAGTTTGCCTAATTTCATTTAAAAATACTCATTGACATTAAATTCCAGACAGACCTCAATACAATGATACTGGGTGATTTCAACATGCCTGCATCACCAATAGAGATACAGGTCATATCCAAACACAGAACCAGTAAAGATATTTCTGACCTAAATAAAACTATAAATCAAATAGATGTAATAGACATCTATAGAATATTTCACCCAAAGCCAGTTGAATTCACTATCTTCTCAGCAATTCATGGAAACTTTTCCAAAATAGACCATATTCTAGGTCACAACATGAGCTTTAGCCAATGCAAAAAAACTGATATAATTCCATTCATCTCATCATAATGGGATTAAACTTGAAATCGACAGCAAGATAAATTATAGAAACCATGTAAAAACATGGAGATTGAACAATACTCTTTTAAATTAGGAATAGATTCAACACAAAAAAAATTCTCAGAAACCAATGAGAACAGAGACACAACATATAAAAACCTTGGTGACAGTGGGAAGGCAGTGTTAAGAGGCAAGTTTATAGCATTGAGAGCCTACATAAAAAAATGTTCCCAAATAAATAATGTAATGTTTTAAAGAGGCTCATTTTTATCTGGAAATTAGTTGTCGTATTCATCATAAAACAAGGTCCTAGCAAAGCAAGAACAAGTCTGTAGACGTCAGGAAGTAATTAAAGATCAGAATCTAAATGAAAGAACTTGAGAATAAAAAACACAAAGGATCAAAGAAACAAAGAATTGGTTCTTTGAAAGGATAAACAAGTTTGATAAACTCTTAGCCAAACTAACCTACAGAGAAAAAAGACCCAAACCAACAAAATTAAAGGTGGAAAAGGAGATATCACCAGATACTTCTGAAATCCAGAGAATTAGAGACTGTTTTGAAAATTCATACCCCAATAAGCTGGAAAACGTAGAAGATATCGACAAATTTCTAGACACACATTATCTGCCCAAATTGAACCAGGAAGATATAAAAAACGAATTAATATTTAGTAATGAAACTAAAAAGGCAATTAAATCCTTCCAACAAAGAAAAGCCAGGCCCAGATGGATTCTCAGCTGAGTTCTACCAGACCTTCAAAGAACTAACACCAGTCCTCAAATCACTCCATGAAACAGGCAGGAAGGGACGCTCCCAAAGCATTCTATGGAGCCAGTACCACCTGACAGCAGAACCAGACAAAGGCCCTAGGAACCAGAACTGCAGTGGACCAGTGAAGGCAGATGTGAATGAGCTCACGGATCGGAGGTTGGCAAGCCGCATTCCAAACACGTCAGGGCTGGGCTGGGCTCAGCTTGTGGCTCAGCGGTAACGCGCTCGCCTAGCACGTGGGAGGCCCTGGGTTCCATCCTCAGCACCGCATAGAAATAAATAAAATCAAGGTATTGTGTCCATCTACAACTGAAAAAAAAAACTTCAAGAAGATAACACACCATGATCAAGTGGGCTTCATCCCAGGGATGCAAGGTGGGTTCAACATAAAAAAAAAAAGAACAATAAATGTGATTCACACACAAATACAATTATGGACGAGAATCTCGATCATGTGACCGTCATGCCACACACCACCCCTGCTGTCTACCCAGCTGCCTGCCCTGCCACCCCCCAGCACTGCCTGACAGCCACCCGCCTGCCTTTCCCCCAGCCTCAGCCCTGAGGCGCCTGGTGGATCCTGAGCAGCCACACAGCTCGCCCAGGGCACTGGGGGACCCCGCTGGCCCTGATGCCTGCAGAGCAGGGAGCCCACGGGCTCCCCAGAGGAGCAGCCCTGAGCCCTGGGCAAGGGACTTCCCGCCCGGCTCTGCTGGAGGGAGTCTCCCCTGCCCCCCACAGGCTTTGCAGTGCACGGCTCTGACAATCAGCCTTGGCAAGAGCGCTACCAAGAAGGTGGCACGTTCTGAGGACACAGCATAGTTCCAGGAACCCGGTGGCTTCCCAGAACGGTCTCCTCCCTGCTTAGGACAGTCCCCTGGCTCGCCCGAGACCTGCCTCCTCCCCTGGCCCTCCCTCTGGGCGGAGCAGAGAAAGCCCTGGCGGGAGGCCCCAGGGGAGCAGAAGGAGGCGAAGGAGCAGCAGGCAGCAGGTGAGGGGCTGGCATGGGCGGGCAGAGGACCACAGCTGGCACCTGAACACTGCGGGATCTGCAGCACCCTGGGCAGGACTGTGGGGATGGAGCCTCCTGTCCTGGCTGCAGCCCCTCCAGGACACTCAGCCCCTGGCCGCCTCCTGCTCAGATGGGCCTGGGTCGCTCAGGGCTGGGGTCTGGCCAGGTCTGCAGGGCACAGGGGTGCAGGGGGATGGGCAGGCTGGGGGGACAGGACCCCGCCTCTCCTGGATCCCCAGGTGGGCTCTGAGGGTCCTCTGTGGGTCCCCCACTTCCCACCTTATGTCACTGCGGAGCTATGCTCCAGGGCTGAGCAGGACCTGTGCAGGACACACACCCCACTGGTGCTCAGCATGTGCACACACCACACACACTGACACTCGTGCACAGATGTGCACACACACACTCACACTGGTGCATGGTGTTTGCACACACCCTACACACTCATGACACACGCATGGTGTGGCACACACACACTCATGACCGGCACTCTGGGGGTTTCCAGCAGGGCCGCCGCCCTCCCCACAACTCTTCCTTCACTCTCCACCTACTCCCCCAGGGCCCATCACTTCCCTGCCAAGGAATCAGGGTCAGGGCTGGCGCTCCTCTAGGGCAGCTGGGCAGGCATCTCAGGAAGGGAGGCCGGAGGTGGCCAGGGTCATCCCACACTCTCCCATGCTGTTCCCAGGGGTGAAAGTGGCACACTCCCAACAAGAGTGGGGGTTTTCGGAGGCAGTCGCCCTTCCTGGCTACTCCGGGTGGACAAGATGCTCCCTGGGCGCGGGGTCCACATGCCCGCTGTGGCTGTGGGGCTTGGTGTTAGAGTGGACACAACCACAGGGCCAGAGGCAGGAAAGAGGCACCAGCCACCCCGGGAGTCAGTGAGCCAGGGCCACTGTGCACGGGACAGTGACTGGACACTGCAGGAAGCGGCTCCCCAGCCAGCCTCTTGCCTGGTTCTGAGGGGCTAGTGCTCCACTGTGCTGGAGGACACTGCCCACGTACCCAGCTGGGCCTTCACCTCCCCTGAGTCCTGGAATCAGCCTGTGGGCCTGGGGTGGAGGCAGCCTGCAGTGGGGCAGAGCCTGAGGCTGGGCCCTCAGGAGTGTGTCCTCCTCACACGGCCAGCAGGGACCTTGGCTTGCCCTCTGCCCCTTACCTGAAGACAGTGGGGGAAGGCTACCCCTGATGTGCAGGGGTGTCTGCAGAAGGAGGCCGTGCAGCAGAAGGAGGCCGTGTAGAAGAAGGAGGCCGTGCAGCAGAAGGAGGCAGTTACCAGAAGGAAGCCAGGCAGCAGAAGGAGGCCGTGCAGCAGAAGGAGGCTGTGTAGAAGGAGGCCGGGCAGCAGAAGGAGGCAGTTACCAGAAGGAAGCCGGGCAGCAGAAGGAGGCCGTGCAGCAGAAGGAGGCTGTGTAGAAGGAGGCCATGTAGCAGAAGGAGGCCATGCAGCACCTGCAGGAGGCAGAGCCCAGGGCCTGTGGCCTGGGGGAGGTGCAGGTCCACTAGTCACCAAGGGTCCACCCAGAAGGAAGGCAAGACCTGGAAGAAGCCCAGGCTTCCCGAGGACCGGCCCCATGATAAGGGGTGGCCCTGGGGTGCCCAGTAGGTGGACTTCCAAAGGACCCACCAGGGCCCCAGGGGAGACGGCAGGCTGTGCCCAAGGCTTGTGAAGAGCCCAGCACCCACATCATGCCGTGGCACGGACAGCAAGAGCCCAGGGGCTCCTCCCTCACCATCAACCTCCAGCCCAAGGTGTCTGGGGAGGGGCCAGGTGAGGAGCCAGAGATGGCAAGAAGGGCATCAGGCCAACCCAGGTCCTTCCAGAGCTGGAGGGGAGGGCAGGCCCTGGGCAAGGGCACAGCTCTGCAGACTCCTCCCAGGAGGCCCCCTGCACGTTCTGGTTGAAGCAGGACTCGGCAGCTGAGCAGGAGCCACCGGGGCAGCAAGGAGGCTGTGGGGGCTGAACCCCTGACCAGTCTGCACGCCACCTGGGCACCTGGGTCCTGGCTGAGCCTGCCAAGGTGGGGAGAGTGTTTGTGAAACTATCCCAGGGACAGCAGCTCTGATCTCAGGTGCTGGGGCGTTGCCACGCCCCTTCCTGGAGCCTCGTGGGGTTCCCAACACTGACACTGTGGGCTGCTCCTGCCCATCCTCACCGACGGCACAGGGAGCCACAAATGGATCAGGCGCTCTCACACTCAGGACGGGCAGCCCATCGCCAAACTCCTGGATCTCAGAGAAAACGGGTTCAGGATCGTGTGGATGACCTAAGGCAGGCCAAGGGGACAGGGCCTCGCTTGCAGGGGCTAAGGCAGATGACAAGCTGCTCGCTGGGACGAGGCGCTGGCAGAAGCCCCCGCTGAGCCTCAGCACATTCAGGGAGAGGGCAGGAGTGAACTTGCCACTTGCCCTTTGTGAGTGACTTCCAGGTGCATTAGAATGTTTGGCAAGACACAGCTTCTCTGCCCTTCTTCTTCTTCTTCTTTTTTTAATATTTATTTTTTAGTATTTTTAGGTGGACACAATATATTTATTTTTCATTTTTATGTGGTGTTGAGGATCGAACCCAGTGCCCCGCGCATGCCAGGTGAGAGCGCTACCTCTGAGCTGCAGCCCAGCCCACACAAAGGCGCTTTTCACTGGGGAAAATCACCTTTCACTGCTCCAAACTGATCAGAACAAACTCATACTCAGGCCAACTGGCCTCTGACCCCACTGAACCCTGCAAGTTGTGTTGGTGGGTCTCATTTCAGGAGCCATGGCACAGGCCTGTGATCCCAGCAACTCAGGAGGCTGAGGCAGAAGGATCCCAAGTTCCAGGCCAGCCTCAGCAACGTAGAGAGGCCCTGTTGCAGAATAACCAATAAAAAGGGCTGGGGAAGTGGACTGGGCTGTGTCTCAGGAGTAAAGCTCTCGCCTCGCAGGTGGGAGGCACTGGGTCTGATCCTCAGCACCACATAAGATAGAAAAGACAACGTGTGGTCATCTACAACTAAAAACATATAAAAAGGGGGTGGAAATAGTTCAGTGGTAAAGTGCCCCTGGGTTCAACCCAAAGAAAAAAGAGTAATAAAGAAAAAAGAATAATAAAAACAATTTTCCAGTTCATACAGGGAGCCCCCCTGGAAGGTGCTGATAGTAACAAATCTGGCCAGCAGGACATGTGTCCACGGAGGTCCAGACTCTGGCCCATCACACAGCTGTGGACACTGGCTGGGTGTGCAGGAGCTCTCAGGATAGCATCAGTCAAGTGGCTGTGAGCTGCTCCCTGTGCCCCTCTAGGACACGCAGGTGGGTGGTCCCTCTGAGTGGTGTGCAACTCCAGGCCAGCTGCAGGGGACCACCCAGTTCCGCCTGTCCAGGGGACAGACCTTCCCCTGTCTTCCTGTGATTCCCTTGGTTCCTGTGGCCGGGGCCTCACACATTATGAAGCACAGGGACAGGAAGGAGGGTGGCTGCTGGGGACCCAGACACTGGGAGGAGGCTCAAGCATGGAGGACACAGCTCGTCCAGGGGAAGCTTGGCCCCTGGGCTGCCCAGCCCCTGGCCAGGTGGAGGCCGCTCCCGGCAGCCTGGGACCACCTGGGGACTTCTGACCCCCGGGTCTCCCTCCCTCCCTTCCACAGGGAGTGTCCCAGAAACCGGTATCCAGGACAAGGGACCCCTGAGGCCTCCCCCATCAGCCAGCCATGCGGACCTGGCCCTCTGTGTCCCCCAGACGCATCCCCCAGCCCTGCGTTCCCAGCATGCTCGGGATCCTCCTGCTCCTGGTGGCCTCCCTGAGTGCTCAGAACACAAGTAGGTATTGGGACTCTGCCCCTCTGCCAGAGAAGGGCTGGGGACACAGGGGTGGGAAGGGCAGACCAAGGTCAGGCCCAGAACTGACCCACCCCAAGTGACGACTGTGACCCTGCAGACCCAGGCCCATGGGTGAGAAGCCAGCTGGAGACCCTGGGTCTTGAAGGGGCAAGCCCCGTGCACCCAGGACAGCAGGGCAGGCACCCCAGCAATGCCTGCTGGCCACTGCTGGAGCATCAGGGGGTGCCCAAGACCACGTCCAGGCTCCAAGGCAAACAGGATCCCTGAGAGTTGGGGCGGGTGCCATGGCCAGGGGACGAGAGGCTCCACGGGACCGAGTTCCTCCCAGCAAGGTCCCTGATCCACCCTGGTCAGCAGCCTCAGCATCACTGGGCCTTAGACAAGCAGACACTCAGAGCACTAGAAGGGAAGGTGCAAGGCACAGGGTCCCCAGTGAGTCCCCGTGCAGCTCTCCAGATCCAGGTTGGCTGTGCAGAGAAATGCCCCCAGGGCCACCCAAGGCACCAGTGTCCTGGCCACTCTGATAGCCAATGGGGACAGCAAGAATTTGGGTCAGATCCCCCAGGAGGTGCAACTGGAGACCCTAACACCACAAAGACCTCCCTGGGGCCCACGTGGTGGCACGGCACAGGGCAGGGAGCTGCAGGGACATCTGGCTGACCAGCTGCCTCCTGCCCAGTGACCAGCTGGTGGCACACACGCCTGGCACACGGCCTCCCTCCCTGCGGTGTGTGTCTGACTGCCACCCCAGCTCTGTGGGCTTTGATGGACCCTATCCTGGCGTGAGTCACATGTAGAGTCCCTGGAGGCGCTGACACCACCCCTGCCCCGCCCAGGCCCCGCCCTGCCCACAGTGTGACCCTCCCCTCCACACAGGCTGGGACAGGCCCTCTTGCACAGAGGGCGTGGTGTCCGTGCCCAGGGGCCAGCCGGCGGCGATGGCCTGCAACATCTCCAACACCTTCTCCCGCATCACCATCCGGCTGCGCGCCCACGGAAAGACCGTGACCATCTTCGAGGAGCGGCCCCCGGGACGCTTCTCCAGGGGTGGCTGGAAGCTCCAGGTGCACGGAGGCCGGGCCCGGCTGGTGATCACAGCCGCCCAGGACGCCCACGCGGGACAATACGTGTGGCATCTGCGAGGGCTCCAGAGAACCAACAGAGCCACGTATCTGAACGTCTCAGGTGAGGCGCGCCCGGGGCGCGGCCAGAGCCAGGGCCAAGCGGGAGGGCGGGCCAGGGGCGGAGCATGGGGAGGGGCTGGGGGCAGCAGGGGGCTCCCCACTGGGAGGGGCAGCGGCCAAGGAGCAGGAGCAGAGCAGAGGGCAGAGTCCAGGGCAAGACCCACAGCGCAGGCCTGAGTCCTGACCAGACACAGCAAGCAAAAGAGTCCCTGGCCCCCAGCTCCCGTGCGCTGTCCCACCCTCTCCAGACCTGCCCGCCCAGCGTGCCCGCCGCACAGCTTCACCCTGAACCCCGTCCCCATAACAAGGGCAGTTTCTCCTCAGACCACCCCCCCCATTGCCCTCCCGTCCTCACCCAGACACACCCGCCCAGCACCTGCTCCATTCCCCCACCTTCCTCCCTTCCCCCACCTGCTCCCCCAGTTGTCCACAAATAGAAGGGGCCACAGCAAACGTCCCCCTCTCCTGCGGCTCTGTGCCCCCAGGCCTCACAGGGCCCGCAGGTGTCCTGGGTGCCATCGCTTCCGTGCCCAGTCAGGCCCCTCCCAGCCTAAACCCACTGCCCACCTCATCCTTCCCTACAAGATCCAAGGTCCCCATGCCCCCCACTGGTCTAATCCACCCCTGTCACCTGAGCCCAGCTGGCAGTGTCTGTGATCTGGCCCCTGGAGGGGACCCAGGGAGCCCTACCCCTGCTCATGCTGCCCCAGAGGTAGAGGGACACCAGGGCTCTGTGCCAACGTGACAGTGTCTCCCCAGCAGAGTCTCAAGACCAGGAGGAGGCAGCAGGCCTGAGGCCGTCCACACCTCCCTGGGGTAGGTGCTGCATCCCTGTCCCTGAGGTGCCACCCCTCCCCTGGCTCCTCAGTGCTTGGCCCACCCCAGGGCCACTGTGCCACCTACCAGCCTCCCTCATCCCAGTGATGTCCCTGCCCAGGAGGGTGGGCTGGGCAGGCAGGAGGCGGTGGGGACACCACTGTGGCCAGTGAGTCAGTGAGTGATGCGTGGAGTGACCAGCGATGCAGGTGACTCTGCCCACCTGTCCTTCCCAGGCACTGCAAGCCAGGTCCCAGGCTCAGAGAGGCTGCAAGCCAGGTCCCAGGCCACGCCCCAGGCCATGGTAGGGGCGCCGGTTGCTGTCCTTCTCTTGATCCTGGTGGTGGGCTCCCTTGGCTGGTGTTGGCACCGACGTTCTCTGAAGTTGGTGCAGGTAAGAGGCCTCCATGTGGTCCAGGGCAGGGTGGAGGTTTCCCTGCGTCCTGTACTGGGCAGTGGGCCCCTGGGTCCTGCACCCCCAGTGGCTCAGGGACACAGTGGGGCTCCCAGGCCACATTTCCCCAGGCCCTTACTTGTCCTCTGGACACCCAGGAAAGCAGCATGGGGGTGGTCTCCCTGCTCCTCCCAAGACTCCAGGACAGACCTGTTCTCTGAGCCCAGGGGGAAGTGGGTTCAACTCTGCTGGGCTCAGAACCCGGCCTGGGCTCTGTGTGTGCATGCATGCGTGTGCCTGTGTGTGTGTGCTTGTGTGCACCTGTGTGCAGGGGCATGCACGCCTGCAGATGCAGTGCTGTGTGGCTGGAGTGTGCCTGTGTCATCCCTGAGTGTCTGCATGGCACCAGGGTCTTGCCCGGACCTCACTCTGCCTCTCTCCCCAGATGAGAGGGGCCAGCTGGAGCCCAGCAGAGCTCACCTAGATCAGGAGCTCAGGTCCTCCAGCCGCACAGTGAGAGGAGCATGCCCTGCACAGTCCTCTCCATCCCTCCCACCCAGACAGAGACCCGCCCCTGTGGTCTCCAGCGCCTCTCTGCTGCCTCACCTCTGTCCATAAATGGGAAATCTCAAACTGCACGGCCTTTGATTGACAGGATCTGCCCTGCCTCTGCTGCTTATCAAGGGGGGCCCTGGCTCCTCTCCTGCTGCTGAGCCCCTGTGCTCCAGGGGCTCCCCACTCCCTGAGAGACCCCAGAGCAAGCCAGGGGACCTCCAGCCTTGGCTAAGTGGACCGTGGGCACACGCCTGTCTTGACCAAGAACAGAAATAAGTTTTGTGGACCCTGCTGCCAGGGGCCCAAGGATCAAGATGGGGGGGCTCCAGATGTGAGATGCCATGTGGCCCCATACCTGGACCTGCTGCAGGAGTCCTTGGGAAGGAGGTGGGAGGTGGGACAGGTGTCTGCTGGCCAGCGCTGACCCCCTGGGGAGGATGGTTGTGCCTGGGGGCATCCCTGGCTCAAGTCTACCACACCTACTGCTTTTAAAAATCTCCCACACGGTAATCCTTAAACAAATATAATAAACTAACTGAGAAGCACCAACCCACTGGGAAGTCCCGGTGTTCTCTTGACAACCACACAGACCTGCCAGGAGTGGTTGGGCTGCGAAGGCTGTCATGGCCAGGCCTTGCTCTCCCAGTCTCCCCAGGGTCCTCAGGGGGACCCTGCCTGGGGCCTGGCCCCCAGAGCCAGCAGCCACAGTCCCAGTGAAAACTGGAATTGCAACTGCTCCTTGGCCAGCCCAGCCGGCTACATCTACAAATGGGTATTTGCTGGCTTTCTGTTCTTATAATGGTGACATTTCTCTAGGACAGGGCCAGCAAATGAGTTGTCTTCCCAGTTTGGGCCAAATTGTGATTAAATTCATTTTCCCTTTTTACATCGTTCTCTCTTCTTTCATTTTCTTCTCCAGTGCTGAGGGTGGAACCCAGGGCCTTGAACATGCTAAGCACACGCTGGGGGGCGGGGGGCGGCGGCGGGGGCTCTCATTTCCACCTGCACAGGAAGCAGCACCAGGATTCTGGTGGGCCAGTGCCCCCTGCTGGTGTGTTGGCTGCACGGCGCCCAGGTCTTCACGAGTGCACCCTATATGGAGGGACCTGGGGGGACTGTCCCCCTCCCTGCAGACTCCAAGCCCAGGTGTTTTGTCTTCTACCCTGAACACAAGTCTCCACTGCTCTGCCACTCCTGGTAAACAGAAAAGGAATTTGTAGGGGATGCTCGGACTCAAAGTCTGTTCCACCGCTGGCACATCCTCTGCAGGGCACCCGCAGGCTCCTCTCTTCCTTGGCTGTGGGCCTTGAAGCCATTCAGGGTTCTTCTAGGACTCTTAGGGGTTCTCAGCTGTTTGTCTGCTAGGGAAACTGGACCCTGTCTTTGGGGCTAAACTCTGAACTTATTTAGGTTTCTGCCCTTGGACTAGTCATCATGGGGAATGTCCTCTTGGGCCCAAAGAACAATCTGTTTGCTCACCAGCATCCTGTTCCAGACTCCTCCACCCAGCCAGCCAAGAGACTGGGAACCTGAGGGGCGGAGGCTGATGCTGCAAGCCATGGGCACAGAGGGACAGAGCCAGCAGGCTCCAGGATCCGGCCCTGTAGGACACTGCACCTGTGGGGATCCCAGTCTCCCAAGGGTCCCCAGGTTCCCCGGGTTCCCCAGACGACCCAGACTCCCCAGTCTCCACAGTCTCCCCAGACAACCCAGACTCCCCAGTCTCCTCAGTCTCCACAGTCTCCTCAGTCTCCTCAGTCTCCACAGTCTCCACAGTCTCCTCAGTCTCCACAGTCTCCACAGTCTCCACAGTCTCCACAGTCTCCTCAGTCTCCTCAGTCTCCTCAGTCTCCACAGTCTCCTCAGTCTCCTCAGTCTCCACAGTCTCCTCAGTCTCCACAGTCTCCACAGTCTCCACAGTCTCCACAGTCTCCTCAGTCTCCACAGTCTCCTCAGTCTCCTCAGTCTCCACAGTCTCCACAGTCTCCTCAGTCTCCACAGTCTCCACAGTCTCCACAGTCTCCACAGTCTCCTCAGTCTCCTCAGTCTCCACAGTCTCCTCAGTCTCCCCAGTCTCCCCAGTCTCCACAGTCTCCACAGTCTCCACAGTCTCCTCAGTCTCCTCAGTCTCCACAGTCTCCTCAGTCTCCTCAGTCTCCTCAGTCTCCACAGTCTCCTCAGTCTCCACAGTCTCCACAGTCTCCTCAGTCTCCACAGTCTCCACAGTCTCCACAGTCTCCTCAGTCTCCTCAGTCTCCACAGTCTCCACAGTCTCCTCAGTCTCCTCAGTCTCCACAGTCTCCTCAGTCTCCACAGTCTCCCCAGGCTTCCAGGGACACCAGGTCCCCTTCTCTCTGAAATCTTCCTTCTCTCCATATCTCTGTATTTTTTGTGGTACTGGGTGGAAAGAGGTACTGTCATGGGAAAGAGGTGTCTCTAAGGAAGGTCTTAGGAGCCCCCAGAGAGCAGAAGCCGAGGCCAGGTTCCTGGCTGTTGTGACAGGAGAACCTCAGCTCCACCAGCCAGAGGCAGAGAAGGGTTTATTTAGGGAAGTAGAGGCATGTTCCAGGGAGGAGCAGGCATCTCCAGGGGGGAGAGAGGGCAGCCGGCTGGTGTAGGTGCTGCCTGTGCAGAGGACAGGGGCGCAGGGCTGGACCAGCGCTGGAGCCAGGGCCCAGGCCCACTTCTGTGAGCTTCCCTGCCCTCCGCGCTGCCCCGTGTTACTTTGGTGGATGGGGCACGGGCCAAGGGCACCACGCCAGGCCCTTGCTCAGGAGTTCCAGCTGTGCCTGGTGCTCCCTGCGTTTCAGTGGCCCGTGAGTGCTTCCTCCGAGGCTCAGTGTCTCTCCCTTTATTCCCAAATTCCTATCTCAAACCCAAGGATCCCCAGAGACACCTCCCCTTTTGATTTTTTGAGATGGGTTAGAATCAAAAATGCAACGTCCTGCCTCAGCCTCCTGAGTCACTGGGATAACAGCCTGTGTCCCTAATTCTAGACCAGGGCCCAAATGCCTGGCAGAGTCTGAGTTTACTTTGGAGGCCGCCATGCACCCCAGTATGAGAAACCAGGATCAGAGGATCAGAGGAGGCCAGATTTCCCAGGCGAGGCTCGTGACCAGGAGTGACAAGTGACAGGGTCGCTGCTCTTCTGTGTCCAGTGTTGGGGGCTCTCCTTTCATGGACTCGGTGAGGGGTGTTTCTCTTGGTGGTCCAGGGTGCTCTTAGGGATGGCACCGGGAGAACTAAGAAATGGCTGCCTCCCAAATCAACCAGGAATTGCTGTCTGAAACACCGGTGACGCTGGAGATCAGGCGGGCACTCAGCAGTCACGGGGCAAGGCGAATGCCACCTCTGCAGAAGGGCTGCCCCCGACCAGCGTCTGGCCAGCAAGCCCACCTGGACGGCAGTCCTGCTTTTACCCCAGCACAGCACTGCCCTGCTCCGGCTCCGACAGAGGCGCTCGGGCCACAGTCTGCGCCACTGGCTAACGTAAAGAGGCTCACTGGGGACACCGTGCGCCTGTCATTGGAAGATGCAGGACAAAGGGAGATTTGGGCGGGGGTTGCGGCAGGCACCAGGGTCTGCATCCTGCGGACATGGGCTGTACGTGAGGGGGGCGCTGCACGGCCCCACCTGACCACACAGTGTGAGATGTCACAGTCGATCATAGGAAATAGGTTTTTGTTACATGTTGGGACACAGACCAGGAAAGAGAACCTGGATCTGACATTACAGGGCCTCGTTCTCCCTGAGGGGCAGATTCACAGCCTCTGGGACAGGAGTCCCCTGTGTTTCTCAAGCACTCTCAAGGATTCGGAAATAACTATCCCCAGGGAGAAAAGGGGAACAGGCCCCAGGGAACTTCCCTTATCTACAGTTCCCCTACCTGCCCTTCTGCCCCACCCTAAATGAGCCAGCCACCAGCTGCCAACAGCATCCCTCCCGTGACCTGGCCCTGCCAAACCTATGAAACTCAGACCCTTGCAGCCCTTAGCCAACTTCCCCTTGAAAATGTGACCCTCCTGGGCTGGGGATGTGGCTCAAGCCGTAGCGCGCTCGCCTGGCATGTGTGCGGCCCGGGTTCGATCCTCAACACCACATACAAACAAAGATGTTGTGTCCGCCAAATACTAAAAAATAAATATTAAAAAAATATATTTAAAAAAAAAAAAAGAAAATGTGACCCTCCGATGCATAATAAAGCTTCCCCGATCCGTTCAATTCTGCCTCCCCACTCCTTCTTTTTTTATTCTCCTTAATTTCTTTCATTTGAGCCGGGCATGGTGGCACACGCCTGTAATCCCAGTGACCTGGGAGGCTGAGGCAGGAGGATAATGAGCTCAAAGTGAGATGCTGAGCAACTCAGTGAGACCCTGTCTCTAAATAGGGCTGGGGATGCGGCTCAGTGGTTGAGTGCTCCTGAGTTCAATCTCTCGTACGTAAAAAAAAAAAGTCTTTCATTTGGTGGCGAAACCCAGGACGGAGTTTGGGATGCTCTACCCCTCCCTGTCCTAACAACCTCTACCCACTGCTTCACGTTTCCCTCCCATTTCTCTCTCTCTGGCCCTCTCTCTCTCTATGGTTCTCTCTCTCTCTCTCTCTCTCTCTGTGGTTCTCTCTCTCTCTCTCTGGTTTTCTCTCTCTCTCTCTCTCTATGGTTCTCTCTCTCTCTGGCCCTCTCTCTCTCTCTCTCTCTCTCTCTATGGTTCTGACAGGAGTAAACATCAAGGATGAATAAACAACATGAATCAGCAAAAGGACTTGTTTTGGACTTGTTTTGGACTTTGCAGTGACTAAGTGACTTTTTAGTTGTAAACATGTTTTGGTTATAGGATGACTAGATAGTATGCCCATGTTAGATAAGTTGATGATGTAACTAGGTAGTGTGCTTATGTTAGATAAGTTAGACATAAACAAGTTTGTTGTAAACATATAGAGTATATAAGCGCGAGGGAAACTCCATGTATTTGCTCACAATCAACTCTCATCGCCTGAGAGTGAGATCGTGCAGTGTGAGCCAGTCACCTCGTGTATTGCTTTGTGTGGTGTGCGAATAAACCAGCATTTCAAAAGGCAATCGAGTTCGTGCTTGGTGTTCGCGTACGTCGCGGTCCGGGGTCCAGTGCAGATATCCGGAAGGGAACTCCTGGTAACCAGACAAGGCTGAGAAGCTGCTCGTGACAGTTGGCGTAGTCGGCAGGATACGGAAGAAGAGCTCCGGAGCAGGTAAATATAACCCACATGACAATGCACAATTTCTTCTACTGAAAACCTAGAATGACCGTGATCGTCCGGTGCTGGGAGCCATTAGCCAAGTAAGTATGACAATTTCCTTGCCAGCGTACCCCATGTTGCAGTGACATTGAATGTACTTAACCTTGCTCAAGGACCAAGGCAGATTAGGGTGTTCCCGGTTTTAAGATAATCTTGTTTAGGGCGTTCCCAGTTTAGGTTCCAGGTTTAAGGTTTAAGATTATTCCTGCTGGGAATAGGGCGTATCCTGCTGCCTGAGTTCCCCTTGAGTTCTCACGGGATTCAGACAGTATATTTTGGAGATAGAAGCCCAGTGGAGGTGGATTTGGGCAGAGAACGTGGATTTGGGCAGAGAACGTGGATTTCCCCAGAACGTGATTGTAGACGGCTGGTGTGAGTTCTGGAATAAAGAGTTGCTGTTTGAATCTACAAGCTGTGTGGTGGCTCGTGATTGTGTGCCCAGCCAGACTGCGGCATTTGTGCCCAGCCAGACTGCGGCATTTGGTGGCCAGTGCGGGGAACTTCTGAAGCTTGGAGGTAAGTGAAATTGCTTGCCCCTGAGGAAGAGCGAAAGAATGGGTGACCAATTCAAAAAACAATGTGTTATTGTTTTGATTTATCTTGTTTTTGTTT